GTGTTTTGCACTCTGTGTACCACTGCATTTTCTCACAGTTACGGAATACAGCCCCTGGTAAATTTTTCAGGCATTTTATTTCTTGTTGTTGTAGACCATTGCAACTCTATAAATCCATGAAACGTAATTTAACCTCAGAGAGTACTTAAATATGTTGGTAAGCCTAGATATTAGCCGAGTATCTCCGTTTTAACAGAAGTGCGGGGAATATGCCGTTTGGACTAGAGAAGTTATTTTCTTTGAACGAAGACTTGTAACAAGAATATTTTGAATGTTACTCTCTATGCTCTTTCTATGATATATTCTAACCGTTGATTTATTCCTCATCAAAATTTTGATCTCCGACAACGAGTCGCATTTGTTGAAAAAAAAAAAATGCAAGAGATGCACTTGAATTTGCTAAATTCAACTGTCCTTAACATTGAAAAAAATAAAAGAACAGGATCATATTTGTCGTGATTCTAATCCCACTAGAAGCCTGCAGTATGGGTACGAGAGAATTCTCCTACACTCTACATTCGTTTCTAGATATCGCTTGTTACTTGGAAGAGACTCACAATGCAAAGCAATCTAAAATGCTAATACAAATTTTGAATGACTTTTCTTAGGATTTCCGCACTGAACAAAAATAAATAATAACTTAGAGATAAACACACGATGGCTACATACATACATACATACATCCATAGCAGACGTGTTCAAGGCTTTTCATAACTGTTAAGATAATCGTTGTTTATCTTTTATGGATTTTCCGAAGTGTGGGATAGTCCAAAAGTATTCTAAGTTATGCACAGAATAACAGAGCAAAAACAAATACATACATACATATTTAGGACTAACTCAAAACCGGTTCGATGGCATTTACTATATACCTACATACATGTGTATGTATGTATGTGCGATAGATTCCAACGGTTAATCACCCACGCTACGAGAAAGATGCGATAATGAGTTGGCATTTGGGTCATTCCACGGTAATCGATACCGAATGAAACGAAAATAGCCTTAAGAATTTGAGTGTATTATTTCGAGTAAGTAAGTGTAAACAAATCTAACTTTCAAGGCTGAAAGCCAAAATTTCGAAATTTATTTTCAAATCTGATATTTTTTTTACTTTAGTTTGTATCATTTACAAACTCATATGAGGGGTTAATTTTTTAAAAAAATTTTCTTGTTTGCATTGTTGAAACGGTCAATCAAGACAACAATTCGTCAGCATTTTAACAGTGTAATTTTCAAATTTTTTAATACACAAAATGGTTATTTTTTGAAGGTAAACACATCTTGGACAGTGTAAAAAAGCTGACGAAAGTAACTCTATGACTCAGGCGAATTCGTGCGAATTGCTTCTACGGCCAGGGACTGCTACCGCTACTTATCTGCTAATCTGAAATGTATCATATATCTGGTTGTGATCACCGATAATTTAAGTTATGCTGCGACATATAAAAAGAAACCTTTACTTCACTTGCCAGGGCAAAAACAGTATCCCATCCGGTTTGACAGGTAACAGCCTCATTTAATGTGTAGTACTATTTAAAAATAAGGTGCTTTTTAATGACTCAGACAGACAGTGGAGATGTAGTGTCCGATCAAGGATTACCCCGTCTTTAGGTGGCAGAATCTTTTATGTGTTTGTGAAATCCAATTTTTCGAGAAATAAAGTAAATGCTGAAAATGTTTACTTAACTATAAAACGAACTATTTAAAACAATGAGGAGAAGACATAATTAGCAGAAAAACTCTGATACAAGTAAGTAGTAGCTAATTAGGTTTGCGTACTCGTCACACCCGTCTCAGTGACTAAAATTCATATAACTCATTTGGATTAAATTGGTTTTGAATTTTTTTCCAGGCATTGTGTATACCTCGGAAACCTATTAAAAAATACTCGTTTAACAGAATTTTATATTACAGTCTTAAAATGAGTTGAAATTTCACACCCGTCACCGTGGAATGAGCCATTCGTTTATTTTTTTTTGTTCATCCAACATCTATACTGCTTAAGTATTTTTGGGAATCACCAGCATCACGGAGATTAGAAACCACTTCGGCGATCTACGATTTTTAGCGATCGCTTGCTGATCGCTTGCTTCATGGTTGTTGTTGTGGCTTTCATTGATATTTGCTTAAGAGTGCAGCAGTGTGCGCCTCGTTGTTCAAATTTTTCTCCTACGCTTTGTCATTTTAAATTTTGTAGCCGTATGCTGCTTCGCTGGGCTCGAAGATCATCAGCCGCCGAGTATACTATTTTCCTGCCGATCGCAGTTACTTATGTATGTATGTATGTATGTAGTTGTTAAGCCATTGAAATTACGAGCGTGTGAGCGAGACAGGACGTTAGTGTTTCGGTCCACACAAGTTCATACATATGTGTGTGTGTGTGAGATCGAATGGCGTCTACTACCTGAAGACCGGTGTACAAAGCCTCAGCAAGCGACTTCGCATGAGTATAAATAATTTTCGCATAACTGCGTATGGACATTAGTGTGAATTGAGAAGACATTAACGCACGCATTGCCGCTGTTCGTAGCATAAAGAAGCCATTGAATTGTTATTTTTCGGCCGTATAGATCCAACGCGAATTTAACGTCATGAAAGTTCTATTTGCTGTCGCGCTCTTGATTGCAGTTGCTTCGGCGATGCCACAATTCGGGTTTGGCGGCTATGGACGCCCTGGTTTCGGCGGTCCTGGCTTTGGTGGAGGCTACGGCCGTCCTCCGCCTCCTCCTGGATTTGGTGGTGGCGGCTTTGGAGGTCCAGGATTTGGTGGACCCGGATTTGGAGGCCCAGGATTTGGTAGACCAGGATTCGGAGGTTCCGGATTTGGTGGTGGCGGTGGAGCTTCCTCCTCGTCTTCTTCAAGTGCCAGCTCGTCGGCTGGCGGTGGTTTTGGTGGTGCCGCTGCTTCTTCTTCCGCGTCATCTTCTGCTTCGGCCGGAGGTTTTAGGGGCTAATTGTCAGAGAGTATAATTTAGTTTTAAATTGAATTTTTTGTAAGATAGTTTAATTGAAATGTAAGCAAGTGTGTGAGAAGGCTGATAAGAAGTACATAAATGTATTGATTTTTTTAGTAAAAAAAAAGCTTTAAATATTAAAACTCAAATAAGTTTCATAGTGTATAGTTTATCTTATCACTGTACTCGTACATTTAGCAGACACTACGCGATACGCAAGGGATACTCTGAATCTGCGGTATGATGATTTCAAATACATAACCATCTGGGAGTCGGATGGGCAAATATTAACAGTAGCGTAGATCAGAGACATTATTTTTCTAAGCTGACGCTGCCTTTTTTATGCGGCGTCCTGTATTTGTGCTCTGTTCGTTAGCCTCGGGTTTAGTTTAAACCCCCAGTACTATGTCTGAGTGTCTTTGATGTCACGGAAGTGCTTTTAATGCTCAATTCTAAAGGAAGATGCTGTTTTTCTTAGAAGTAGAAAGATGGGTTTATCTCTTGTGAGTTTGGTTCGTGGTACTGGAGCCGCGCATTGTCCTTATCATAATTTATTTATCTTCTGGTGTGCTGCTTTGCTGTCCCTTCTTTACTGATTTCATCTGCGTAACCTGCTAAGTGGGTACCGTTAGCCATTTTGGTGTTTTAGTAATCCATCATAACTGGCATTCCAGAGGTCTGGACCAAGAAGGCAGTATGTTTCTGCAACTGACTTGATTGTAAGATGCCGGAATCATCGGTGCTTTATTACACTAGCTGCCGCTACTCCAGAAAACTTCTCAGCAATAATCCAATGTACTTTTATGTGCACGAGTTCGTATGTAAATTGTATAATTTTCTTTGTGCGATTATCATTTCTTCCATTTTACGGTATTGCAAGCGTTACGAACGCCTATACATAGTTGCCAGCAAGACCGTGGCCCTTATTATGAGCTGCATTCGGTTTTCGATCTTCGCTGGCTATCGAAGATCGAAGATCGAAAGTGAAATTCGTATTATGAGCTATGCAAGCGTGTCGAAATTTTCGTTGAGTATCGAATTTTCTGTCGAACAGAATTTTGCTTTCGATGGTGTAGCGAAGTGTTAGAAAATTGTGAAAAATTTATGATTTTGTGTATGTTTTCTTACATTTTGGCGGCTAGACACTAATTTTAAACAATTTTTATTAATTTCATGCAGTTCTAACATCGTGAATACTAAACACAAGCACGAAAGGCTGGTTTTACTTGTGAAAGAAAATCCCAATACTCTGTTGGCACGATCTCTGAGAACAAAATCGTAGCGCTGTTGATAGTTTTAAAATATTTTAAATAGATTTGGCTCACAAACGCCTCTTTAGATGGTCGGAACTTTTTAATGAATCTGTAGACAAATTTCTTAAATATATTTTATATCAAAATATATTCGAAAGACTAATAAACTTAAACTCTCTTAAACATTTGCTACTCCTGGCCAGTTTACTAAGCTCTCATCCTCTGACGAATCGTTGAACCAGAACTCGTTGTACTCATTTTACCACGTTTTTATAAACTTGCTTTCTTTTTTACTTCATTTTAATTAGAACAAATTTACATAAATATGTATAAGCACACTATTTAGTTTGCTCGATTTGTAAACAAAGCTTCTCAGCGGTGAAAAATATACTATTGTGAACAACCTAAACGAGCGAAATTCACAATAGCGCTATTCTTCATCGAATGAGCGCCATAATACCAAATGAAAATTCGTTCGCTCAGCACTTTCGACCACAGTCGAAAATCGAATGCAACTCATAATAGGGGCCCGTCTTCTTGTGTTCGTATGCAGTTTTTTTTAGTCGCTGATGTTTTTGACTGTTCTGCCAGGCCCGAGCTCACTGTCTTAAGGAGAGTCCACCGCCTCTGGCAATAGCCGTTTCTATACTGAGATCAAGTAGCCTATTTAAAAGTTTCCCTACTGTGCTCAGCGTGCAGCGATATTTTGGTGGTGAATTGGAATTCCCTTTACCTTTGTTGATTTAAATAGGCTGTAGTCTTTTTCAGGCTTCTGGAAATATTCCCTAGGTTGCTCTGTGGTAAACATTTCTAAATTTATGCTTTCTTGGGATTTGCTGCTGACGGAATTGAGTTCTTTCGCAGTAAAGATGATGGTCTCTGGGGAAGTGGTTTTCGGCTTTATTTCTTCATTTCATGTGCCATGCTTGGGAGAGTGCATTAGCACCACCAATTTGGAATGAATGATAACTAATAGCAAGCGAAATGACAACATTGTTCAAATGCGTTTTCTTGCTATTTTGGTTGAAATTTGTCAAAATTTTGACTTTGCCAAGCTATATCTTAGCGAGTTAAACAAAAAAATAAATATTCAATATACAATCTAACCTTTTGTTCAGGATTTGTCATAAAAAAAGACAAATATAAATATCTTCAAAAGCGTTCACGGACAACACTGACAAAGTGAAAAAAAAAAACAAATAAGGGGCGATTTCTGTTTTATGAGCAAAGAAGCATTCTAAAACTCGAAACAGCCAACGAGAAAGCACCTAAAAATTTTGTCAATATTATTGTGGCTTATTAATATTTATTGCAATATTGTTATTGAGCTTTGTACCGCGGTTATGCTTTTTAGGAAAAATGGTAAAAGTAACAAAGTCTAAGTGGTAGAAGTTATAGCTGCTGTTTCGGAGCTCACCACATCTCCTCAACAGATTTCGTAGAAAAAGGACAAAAGGACAATACCGATTTTACCTGATTTTTTGTTTTGTTTTAGCAAAAGGATATGTACATATATATAAATAATTTCATAATATAATTAGATTGGTTGCATATTGAGAAAGCCGGTTTAACAAAATCACTAAAACAAAAAATAAAAATAAATAAATATAGTTACACCCGGCTTCACTTGAAAAGCAACATTATTTTTTTCAAGATTCGAGCTTGCGTATATTTAGACTTGTTGGCGTCAGTAAAGCTTCATTTTAATCAGCGATTAATCTAAAAAAGAAAGGTGACACCGAAACGTTAATTTAAACAATACAAAACAGTGCTCTAAAATTACGTTGCTTGAATTGATTATTGTGACAATAGAAAAGTTATTAAAATTCTACTTTAAACCCTTTTTAACAGTCTAAAGACATTTCGAATCACATAGGCACACTTTCAATTAAAGAAAATTGCGAAAATTGAGAATTTAGCGGATCCAGGACTTTGAAGGCAATCCGCTGAAAATGGAACCAGAATACAAAGGCTACTCGGAAATGACAGCACGACCTTTATGCAGTCAGCTTTTTATTGTCATCATAATGGGCTAAAATTAAAAGGAAAAAGGTGTTGTTTCTGACTTAACACTTGTGCTCTGAAAACGTAAAGAAGGATATCAAATTAATGTACAACGTTAAGAATTACGACTGGAATTTTATACGTCTCACATGTCGTAAATTTTTAATTGCTTCTCTATATTATTAGATGTGCGACATATACATACATACCTATCACTATCACTATCATTATCTTTGTCTATATACTTGTCTATGCCTTTGTCTCCGTCTGCCCACAGCGCCGTTCGACGCAGCCAATGGCAACCTCCTACTTGTAGATAAAAAGTAAAGATTTTCCAAAAGCCTTTCGATTGATATCCATATGTAACAATTCGTTTAACTTAGTTATTAAATAATGTGAATTTAATTTTCGTTAATTTTAAATTAATTTAAATTTGTTTTCTTTTAATTTGACACCTGATGTTTGAAAATCGAACGAACGATATTCCGTATTTCTGAAATTTACCGTTATATGAAAGTCGGGCATAATTTTAGTCCGATTTCAAAAATTTTCAGCACCTTGATTTTTCTTTTCAAATAAAATAATTATACCGAGTTTGGTACAAATTGATGGAACGGTTACCGATATACACATATGTGGTCATAAGTGGGCGGTGCCATGCCCATTTTCCAAAAAATTTGTTATAATAAATTTGCGTTATTAGTTACCGATTTATTACATATTTTTCATATAGTCTGATAATAAAAGTTGCCTAAAACGCAACTGGCCAAGGTACTTTCTTCACATTTTCACAAAATTTTTTCAAAGTTGATAACTTTTCAAAACGAAATACCTAAAAAAGTTAATGCGCCTATTCAAATGACCCGAGTTGTAATTCGCTTACATGTGTACATATGTAGCTACATAAATACTGAAGACGTCAACTCACAGAGTAGATTTCGTTGACTTGCATGACAAGAAATTTTGACTTATTTTCACGAGTAACTTCAAGTAAAGCAACAACTAAATGTGAGAGAAAACCATTAAGCTGTCGTCGAGATTAATGAGTTTTGTAGAACAAGAACAAAAAAAAAATACGAAATGTAATTTTAATTTTACCGGTTTTTTGGTTTCTATATTCTATTCGTTTCTGTATTAATATACATATATATGCAATATTAGTTTGGTTGTTTTGTTTTTTTTTTGTTTATTGTTTTCAACGGCTGATGGGGGGTTTTAATCGTGGTACAATAATTACAGGTATTGCCTTATTTGAAAAACATCATTGTTGCCAACACTGAAAGGTTTACTGCTGGGAAAAAGGGATATTTCCATACCCCATATACCATATACATATGTATATACACGTTTTTTTTTTTAAACAAACCTTCTTGCAGAGAATTTATTTAATTTGCAAAAGCCAAAAAATAAACATTTGCTTAGTAAATAAATTCTAAATTCGTAAAGCTCACTTTCTTTCAAGCGGTTTTTCTTTTGTGTTGAAAAATTGTAAAAATTAAATTCAGCGAAAACAAAACGCAAAGCCAAATAAAAGTTAAAGAATCAACATTAACCTGCGTCAAATTGAAAATAAGGTAACACAAATTTTGATATGAAGCAAAATTATCTGGGAAGATAATACCTGTAATAATTGTACCATGGGTTTTGATTAATTTCGTAGCATAAGAACTAACCATAAGTTAGGTTTGTATTAATAAAATAATAATAGATATTTCGCTACCTAAATTTATACGGTTTTTTTACAAGAAAGTCATATGTATGTATAGTGCAATCGGTAAGAATTGAATAACAAAACCGATATACTTGAAAAAAAAGTATTTTAGATAACTTGTTGAAGCAGCTTTGTCAGCCTTATAGGTGAGTCCGTGCGCATTAGAC